GTGAATCGTTACATCCCTACACGTGATCCAGGCATTCGTGTTGCTGCCACACTTCTTCCTCCTCGGCTGTCCAGTGGACATGTACTGCAGCTTGTTTAAGAGTCACACATTGGCCTTAGTGAAAGTACTCATGTAATCATAGTCATAATCATCCTGATTTAAAATCCTAAATATCAGGGCAGCCCTGATGTGTCTGCGAGCAAAGATTTGATCTGCAAACGCTTCATTACCAGCTGAACATCGAAACTGACCGAGGTCCTGGACGAGGCTTGTTTTTCTCAGATTCTCAGCAGGGGTAAATCGGGGACAAAACTGACTTAAAACTCCTGTAATGTGAGCCCGTGTTACATTACATCCATTTTTTTTGACCATATAGTAATTAATTTTTTGAACAAAGTGTCTTATTATTAATATATAATGGTTTCAACTAACAAATATTTATTTTTATTCTTTCTCTCTGAGTGTTCAGTTTTCTGTGATCAACATTTCACAGCTGCTGCTGATAGAACTTTTAAACCAGGACAATTCCATTATATAACTCATATCCATACTTTTATTTATTGCCATGTTTTCATGGTTCTGAATGTGGGTTCATTCAATTATCCATTTCCTGTTACAGACAAGAAAATCGAGAAGCTGGACACAGATGATTTGGATGAAATCGAGAAAATCGCCAACTGAGCGGCCATCTTTGTTCTTTTAATAGGACTGTGCTCGTGCTATGTTTTAAATCAGAGGCTGGAGGCAGAGCTGTGCCAGAGAGGATGTTTACATCTGGAGCAGTTTTATCTCCGATGGAGTTTTTATAGGTTTTGTTTAAACACATTTCACTCTTTGTACTTAATAAATTTCGAATGTCTAGTCTTAACATCACGTGTGCGAGAATGCTACAGGAGCGGTCCGGGATAGTGGCACGAGGAATATGCCTTTCGATATATCAACAATTTCATCATGAACCTTTTCAATTGACACTTAACAGCCTGCCTTCACATGAAGTGTGGGAAAAAATTACATTGACTGTTATATTGATTTCTAACATCCTCATATTGTCGTAATTGTTGATGAGATTTTTGTGAAATGAGCTGAATTTTCGATCACGAGTGTGCAGAGTGCTACGTTTCATGAAAAATGAGCATTTTCAGTCAAGTTTATTTGTGTTTATGAAATCTGGGTGCAGCTACATTTGATGTGTCACTCCTAACTAGGAGTCAAAATGCAGGGTTTATTTCATATTATGAGAGATTGCTGTTATACATTAATACGCAATAACTCATTACATTGCTACAGAAGGATGCTAGCAGTTATTGGCTTTGAATTAAACTCAAACAGTTGCCAAAGTCCTTTTACTGGTATAAAATTATGCAAAAGCCAAAGATTTGTGCCTCCATTGGATTCGCCAGTATTTAACATGGAATAACACAAATGTATCTATTCATCATGTCCAAATATTGTCATACGTATTCAATAAGTACAAAGAGTGAAACTGTTATATTTAACAGATGCGTCACGGCATTCGTTGTAAGAGTGCTCTGGAGTGGAAGCGTTATTTGTGTTCCCCGTAACAGACTGCATTGAATTGGAAATGATCAGGTTCAAGTACTGGAATGCAACTGAATTTGTAACAGCAGAAGGCTGTGCCACATTCCCGTTTGCAGCTGCCTTAAAAATGTAAAAGACAGATGCGAAAGCATTCTCTACAATCTCAGTGTATTCTTCAGGGTAGCCGTAGCAAATGATTATTTTATATTATGGAATGTTTTAATTTAACCACTGTAAACTCAAACGACACTGCACTCGACTCCATTACATATGCATTAGAGTAGACGTATATTTTATTCATTGGTATGAGAGTAGTGAGGTTGGGGTAAAGTGTGTCGGTCGCTTCTTTGAAGGGAAGACTTTTCTTGATAAAGAATTACTAGATTGCTTGAATATATCTCCTGTTGCCTTGTTCATTTTCTCAGTTTGGTTCAAGCTGTCGAGTTGCAATGATATTAAATAGAGGGTTTGCAAAAAAATGTATGATTAAACTAAAGGTCTGTCTAGAAACCATCACTTGATCTGGTGTCGCATCAGAGAATAAATGGACTTGTCTATTATCAAAAACACATTCCTGCATAATCATTGCATTTCTACATTTTTTTTATTTTTAGTATGTAACTGAAATACCCATAATGCTTGAGGACAATTCAATGATGACGTTTCTACATCACCACAAGGCTGCTCGTAGTCGTTCAAGTCATATTCACCTCAATGAAGATGTATTTATAACATTCATTTACTCTCATTCATTTATGTGAAAAATGTTTTTTTTTTTTTTTTTTTTTTTTTTTTTTTTTTTTTTTTTTTTTTTTTTTTTTTTTTTTTTTTTTTTTGCAAACGTACACTTACAGCTGACAAATCAGCCTTTTGAAATGATTAATAATTTCCGTATTTCACCTCAACTGAATGTTGATGACAAAAAAGTATGTATCTCTCTGAAAGTGATCTGTAATGAGACTCGGTCTGTGTTTTTGGAGCGGATCAGTGACTGTCTGGACTCTGGATGTTACAGGATGAGGAATGCTTGCCGCGAATCTTGACAAAACTGTTTAAAACTGATAAAACCTCTCAGATCTGCTGCTTTTGTGCTGATATTGATGTCTGGGTGATGTGTGCTAGAATAAAACTATGAATCAAAGTATATTTGCCTAACTTTTTGTAATATTTAAAAAAAAAAGAAATCTGTAATTAAGGATATATATTACTTGCATATCCCTATGTAAGTATGGTTTTGACACAGGCAGGTGTTGGAAAAACGGATAAAAAGAACACTTTAATACATTTTTTAACATATTTACATTAGATATTGTGAGATATTTATTTAAATGATTATTTTACTGTTCAGCCAGCATACAAGCTCCAAGATCTGCAATTTTTCAAATAAGAAAAAAAAAATATTTAATTCGAATGAATGGCTGTTAGGACATATTACATATAATTGCACTGTATACACTATATTACCTACTATTTAATTATGAAGCAGCATGCATTATGCAACAAACAGCAGTAATAGTCTACGCTCATCACATGACCTCTATTCTGCATATTTAATTAATCAAGTGCAATCTAGTTATCTTCTCATTATTTTGCATTTATTTTTGCATTGTGTTAACATTCATTGACATGGAGGGTCAAGTCGAGCACATTGCATTTTGGGATATGTTGTTCTGTGCAGTGTGTGGTTGGTCATCCAGGTAGCCTAAAATTTGCATACACGTATAATGAGTAGAGTGATATTCTGGACCCAAACTACTGGTTCGTACCTGTATCTCTGTACTGTACGTCGGTCAGAAACAGGCCGTGGGCTGGGGCCGTCAGGTTTTGTGGGAACGCCAGTGAATCTCGTGCTTCTAGCAGCTCCTGAATCTGACTAACAGACAGTCTACCCTGACCGACGGCAACCAGCGCCCCAGTCATCCTCCGCACCTGTGAGCGGAAACGTGGCGCTTTGATTATGTGACTACTATTGCTATATAAGCTATCAGCCATATTTCATCATCAAAGACATTCTTTCAAATCCACTGAAATGAAATGCATGCAATGAAATTCACACATTTAACACTAGGAGGCAGACTACCTACAATGCAACATAAATGTCATATTTATAGGGGAACAAAGCCAGTACTTACTTGTCTGTATAAAAAGGATCTACTTTTAAAAGTGAGCTCCCAGAACGGAATATCTCTGTAAGAAAATGCACAAAAATCAAGCAATTTGAAATCACTTTAATTGAAGCCACCAAACATGACCAAAATTCCATTTGTGCAAGTGACTGAACAACAGATTCATGGGTGAAGTCTGAAGACCTGACCTCTTTCGGGTTGTCTTCTTCACTCGTATTATTATTTCTGCGTAGTTGGCACACTATTTCTTCCATTAAAACTAAAGCTGCCTGCATCAAATAAACAACTGGAGCTGCAGCAGGAGCACTGGAGCGCTCTGGATAACATGCAATATTTACTGCTTAGACAGGTCCAATGTTTCATAGTGCTTTTTGTTTTTTAATTGACGATGAGATTAGTTTGGACTGACTTCACAGAGATGCTAAATGGGATCGTCTGGCTCTCATTTAATCACAGCTTTGAATGAACAAACAGCCAGAGTGTGTTACATGAAGAGAGATAAGCATACAACACCAACACAATAAAAAACCTCAAAGGAAGCACATGTGAGTCTAAAATACATACCTGCACTTCCAGAATAAAGAAAAATAGTGTACTGCTTATTGTACTTTTTAAAAATTGTATATGAAATAGTATGTAATGATAAAATATTTGACTTCAAATAAACAAATGCATTAATTTTCCATGACTTTTCCAGTTGTGTGATGACTGAAAAAAAAAAATAATAATAATAATTCTAAAATTATTTTTATATTTTTCATGTAACGCCCCCTGGATGTTTCAGACACAGAGAAATATTTATAGCTTAAGAAAGACTTGAATTGAAAATAACCACAAACATTATATTTGCTATATAGATTTCATGACCCTTCATGAATCAAATTTTTTTTAATTCCCCAATATTTTCAGATTTTCCAGGACTCCTAGAAAACACTATTCTCAAGATTTTTCTAGTTGAACATTCCTTTTCACTTCGGAATACATCACATTACAGAAGTAAAATGGGTTGCAAATGGCATTTTATGTTGTCCAGATATCATCTCATGTGCGTTTTAATCATATTTTATCTGAAAACTCTCAGTAGTTCAATCCGAGGAGGTTTATAATAGCATTCTCATTAATCCTATCATCAGTTAAGCTAATGCTAACTAACCAGACCTTGACCCTTTATATAAGCATATCTTGTTTCACAAACAATAAACCCTTTGGTTACCTCATCAGCTTGTCTTTTCCATATAACCAATCAACACAATCAATCTACTTGCAGGGGCTGTGTGATCCCTTTTAATGAATATCACCCTATTGTAGAGGAATATCTGATCTCATTAACTAAGTGACTGAACAAACATTTCATATCTAACTCATGCATTGGGTGCACCTGGACATCTAAGCTTTTCCATTTCGTAATTAATTCACCTCCGTATGACATGAGCGCTGACATCACAGATGTAAATGATGAACACGTGGACATATTCATGATGTTTCTTGTGTGTGAAGTCCACTCCATTCATTATAATACAGATGAAATGTGGCATTCATTTAACTACTCCTACAGTTTAAAACCTTGTTTGCATATTAACAATTTTATCTTGTAGTTTTGAATCCAGGTAGATAATAATACATGTATAGTTTAAATTCAAATGAATGGTTTGCCCAAAAAATGAACATTTGCTGATCATTTACTCAATAATAGCCTCAGGCCATCCAAGATGTAGATGAGTTTGTTTCTTCATCAGAGCAGATTTGGAGAAATGTAGCAGTACATCACTTGCTCACCAATGGATGCTATGCAGTGAATGGGTGCCGTCAGAATGAGAGTCCAAACAGCTGATAAAAACATCACAATAATCCACACCACTCCAGTCCATCAATTAACATCTTGTGAAGTGAAAATGTGGATTATTGTGATGTTTTTATCAGCTGTTTGGACTCTCATTCTGACGGCACCCATTCACTGCAGAGCATCCATTGGTGAGCAAGTGATGCAGTGCTACATTTCTCCAAATCTGCTCTGATGAAGAAACAAACTCATCTACATCTTGCATGGCCAGATGGTGAGTAAATGTTCAGCAAATGTTCCTTTTTAAGTGAACTATTCCTTTGTGTTACTGTGTATATATGACCACAAAAGGAGATATTTTAAAGAATGTTCACTCTGCTGATGATAACAGGCATATGATGACAGAATTGTCCTTTTTTGAGAAACTGTCCCATTAAAAGCAGCTAAAGTCTCTCTTTTGGTAGAAAAAACACTTTTCTGATTTGCATTTCTTAAAGGGCTATGCAGCAAAATGCCATGATCTGGTTTTTTCAGTGTGTGTGAGTGTGTGTGTGTGTAAGTGTGGATGATAAATGCATTGATCCCCTGCAAATCTTGACATTAGCGTGAACAGAGCAGATGGTGTGTGTGTGTGTGTGTGTGTGTGTGTGTGTCTCCCAGCTGAGAGCCGCACGTGAAAAACCCCAAATGACCTGCCGAAGGGATCCCAGTGTGAGTTGATTTTAAACATATGTCCCAAAGGCTTTTGAGGGAGGCACAGATAATCATTTTTGTTTCTGAATGCAGAATTATTTTTATAGATAAAACCAATTGTGATTAAAGGATTATTCTGGGTTATTTTTTTAACTAAGGTTACTGTAAGTGATATCAGAAAGTGATATCTGAAATTAGGAGCCAAAAAAAAAACTCAAGTTAAATGCCACAGATGTTTTCCATATATATTATGACCGCAATAAACTAGAACATTCCTTTAAATACATGCATATAAACCACCTTTCAAAAGTTTGATGTCAGTAAGATTTTTAAATATTTTTTTGGAAGAAGCCTCATATGCTCACCAAGGCTACATTTATTTGATCCAAAAGTACAGTAATATTGTGAAATATTATTACGATTTAAAATAACAACTTTCTATTGTAGTATATTTTAAATTGAAACGTATTCCTGCGATGCAAAGCTGAATTTCCATCATCATTACAGTCTTCAGTGTCTCATGATCCTTCAGAAATCATTCTAAGATGCTGATTTGCTGCTCAAGAAACATTTCAGATTATTATCAATGTTGAAAACAGTTGTGCTGCTTCCTATTTTTTTTGTGAAAACCATGATACAATCATTTCAGGATTATTTGGTTAATAAAAAGTTCAAAAGAACAGCATTTATTTAAACTAGAAATCTTTTGTAACATTATAAATGTACTCTAAATGTTCTTTACTGTCAATTTGATGCATTCTTGCTGAATAAAAGTATTAATTTATTTAACTTTTTTGAATGATAGTGTACATATATATATCTCAACTCATCAAATACTGAATCCTCCCTTTGACTTGCCCAAAATAGGTTTTGTGACTAAAATAATGTTTTCTTCAGAACACTGATGCAGACGGTATAAAAACAGCCATTCTTCACTGCATTTGACAGGCTACAGTGTTTGTCCCTCAGAGCAGGACAGCAAGAAGAGCAGCCTGCTTTTGTCAACATCACGCTTTAGTCCATCATCTGTTGCCTAGCAACAGTCTCATCGCACATGCCTAACCGAAGAGACGACTGATGAAACACCAGCCTCAACGACTGGACATCCACTGTGCTATAAAGCAGCTTTGCCTTTCATACTGTGTGTTTGCATTTCAAATATTAAACAACGTAAACATTCCTTTAGCTTGTAGCTAGTGTTGCTTTCGTCAACGAAAATTATGACTAAATATCGTCGTCAACGAACCTTTATCACGTGACGAAAACGAGACGAGACGCAACGTAAATGCTGGTCATGTGACGATGACTATAATTAAATGTATAATGCAATATAAAACTAAAATTAAAACAGGCCGCCAAAAACAACACTACTTGTAGCTGATAATAGTGGTTAAAGAACATGAGGCTCGCTATATGAAATCATAATTAGGGTTATTAATGCACAAATGTACTGGGCCGAGATGGTTTATAGCTTGAGAAGGGATTTACATTAGCAACTATTGGCAGCATGTTGTAATTGCTGATCCATTAATTGCAGATTGGATGACCTCCGGCCTTGATGTTCAGCCATGTATCTTTCTAGGAAGTCAGAGGCTATTTATATGCTCCCATGCCGAATGACTCCACATTTGCTCAATTAATCCCTCAGCACATGCTGTTGAAAAGCGGCTATTAAAATAAAATGCCAAGCAATTGCATTAACCAAATGACAGAATTAAATCTGGCAGATTGTGGGATGAACTGCACTTTATTGGTTCGTGACAGACCATTATATATCGACCAGGCCGATTATTCTGACAATCTTTGGCCATTCTGCCATGTTTAGTGTTTCCCTATGAGTCAGTTCCAACATCTACTGACAGCCTTGTCAACTGATAACATATATTTTGGTAAGTAAATGCTGAGTAAAATAGATATCACGAAGGGTTAGATTTTCACTGAATAATGACTTAAAATTCAAGGGATAGTTCAACCAGAAATGAAAATTCTGTCCTCATTTACTCACCCTCAAGACGTTATGGTTTCTTTCTGCTGAACACAAAAGATATTCTCCAGAATGTTGGTAACCAAACAGCTGCTGGTCCCCATTGACTTCCATAGTATTTGTTTCCACACTATGTAAGTCAATGGGGACCAGCAACTGTTTGGTTACACACATTCTTCAAAATATCTTCTACTGTGTTTCACAGAAGAAATAAACTCACACAGGTTTGGAACAACTTGAGGGTGAGAAAATGATGACTGAATTCTCATTTTTGGTTATCACTTTCAACCAAGTAGACTTTATACAGGTACATCTCTAAAAATTAGAATATCATGAAAAAGGTCAATAATTTTTGTCACTCATTTCAGAAAGTGAAACCCATATATTATATAGATTCATTACACATAGAGTGAAATATTTCAAGCCTTTATTTCTTTAAATTTTGATGATTATGGCTTACAGATAATGAAAACCCAAAATTCAGTGTCTCAGAACAATCTATGGGGTATTGTCAAGAGGAAGATGAGAGACACCAGACCCAACAATGCAGATGCCCTGAAGGCCGCTATAAAAGCAACCTAGGCTTCCATTACACCTGAGCAGTGCCACAGGCTGATCACCTCCATGCCACGCCGCATTGATGCAGTAATTCATGCAAAAGGAGGCCCAACCAAGTATTGAGTGCATAGAAATGAACATACTTTTCAGAAGCCTGACATTTCTGTTTAAAATATCCTTTTTTTATTGATCTTATGTAATATTTTAATTTTCTGAGACACTGAATTTTGGGTTTTCATTATCTGTAAGCCATAATCATCAAAATTTCAAGAAATAAAGGCTTGAAATATTTCACTCTATGTGTAATGAATCTATATATGTGTTTCACTTTCTGAAATGAGTGACAAAAAATATTGACCTTTTTCATGATATTCAAATTTTTTGAGATGTACCTGTATATAGTGAACATCTTGCTGTTTTATGGTGCTTTTTTGAGGTTTTTGGAGCTCACTCACCACCACTGTACAGAAAACAGAAGCATGAACATTCTGCTAAATTTCTCCTTTTGTGTTCCACAGAACCAAGTCTTGGGTTTGGAATTGCATGAAAATGAGTAATCAACCTCTGTGTTTTATTTTTGGGGGGCCGATTCCTTTATTTAGTCCCATATTTAATTTTTGACAGAATGAAAACGAGGCTGTGAGGAATGTGCATACAAAGTACGTGCAGTTACAAAAATCGGGTGGTGCACGTACTATTCTGGTGACAAAATATGCGTCACGCACACTATACGTGGACCCTCACGTACGTGTAAAAACCAAAGCATACTTTGGGCTTCAAAGCTTATGATACATATTTCCAGAAAAAATGTGAGTTTTGTGAGTTGTGAAAATGTGATCTAGGACCTTTATACAGTCTATAAGTCTATCTCTCACAGCCTCATTTTCACCCACATGCACCTAAGGTATATTGTGATGAATCCACTGGCAATCAATATGGTTGGTCTCATCACAGCACCAGCCAAACGCTGCTTCCTCCAATCTCTGGCTTTGCAGCTTTTTATCCTACCTGTGAAAGTGTCTCTGACTGAACGAGACCCCAGATTCCAGCTGGGCCTTCTCTAGGGTCTTCACTGGGTTCTTAAAGGGCGTCTCTGAGCTCAAGGCACGGAAGGTGCTGAAGTCATGGGTTCCTAACAGAAGTGCGGCAGCCTCTTGCATTGCAGAGATATTTAGCCTCCTGTGGGGAGAATGAAGTAATAGAGAGCAATCAAACTCTGCATATACACTGAGCACAGAGACTGTGCAGGAACCGCAATCAACGGTACTTTATTACTGCATGTTATTACTTCAGGAAATAAGTTTCTCAGGGCAGGGCGATATAGATACAATCACTATCTGCTAAAGGATTTGGTGTCAGTAAGATTTTTTTGATGTTTTTGAAAGAAGTCTCTGATGCTCACCAAAGCTGCATTTATTTGGTCAAAAATATAGTAAAAACCGTAGTAATGTGAAATATTATTACATTTTAAAATAACTGTTTTCTATTTTGATATGTTTAAATGCAAAGCTGAATTTTCAGCATCATTACTGCAGTCATCAGTGTCACGTGATCATTCAGAAATCAATCAAATATGAAACATTATTATCAATGTTGAAAACAGTTGTGCTGCTTAATATTTCTGTGGAAACTGTGATGAATAGAAATTTCAAAAGAACAGCATTATTTAAAATAGAAATCTTTTGTAAAATTTTAAATTTCTTGATTTTCACCGTTGATCTATCTGATCAATGCTTAATAAAAGCATTAATTTCTTCTCAAATCTCAAATTTTTTTAACAGTTGTGTATACAGCTGAAATTTCATTTATATCTTGATATTTATATTTTTGCACTGAAATGGCTTATAAAGTTGCTTTTCCTTCCATTATAGCCACATAGATTCAAACATTTTAAATACATATTTAAAATACTTAAGTCATTTTATTTTTATAGTGCTTTATACGACAGAGATTGTTTCAATGCAGCTTCACGGCAAAGTAACAATCAATGATGCAAACTTTACGTCTTTAGGAAACATTGTGGCTAGTAAGCAAAAAACATATAAATATTCAACTTGACAATTCACAACGTTGCTTATTTTTTGTATTTCCAGCCGATTCAGCTTAAATATTTATTAACATTCAATATATCACCAGCACTAGCTGACAGGGGTAAAAAAAATCTCAGTTAGAAGACATGAATAAAGACATAAAGCCATATAGGTCAAGGAACGTTCAAATAAGCCTCTACAAACTTCCCTTTTAAAGGACTTAATCCAGTTTGTGTGTGTTGAACGGCAGTTCTTATGAGATGGAAAAGTAGCTGGAATGTGTGTGTGCATGAAGCAGACGCAAGACGGCTGTGGGTGTTGTTCTGCGTCACTACGAGCCTGAAGCTTATCTTGGCCTACTTTATCGCTAAAAATGAAGAGAGTGGGAAAAAATAGCATTAATGTTCACCCTTGGAGATGAGCCACTCGCTCCAGCGTTACTCTATCAAGGGCTTCAAAAAGACATCTGAGGCACACGCTGCCGTAACAATGCATACTTTCCTCATCTTTGGTTGCAGTGTTGGCCGATAACCGGAAATCATTCGCTTGCCCTTATGACGGGTCTTGTTTGTAATTCATGTGTGGCTTTTTCCACTGTGAATCAGAGTATGTGTTTGTTCCTATTGCTCTCCGAGAGGATTTAGCTTCTGTGACATGTGCGTAGTGATGCGGTTGTAGAGCACGTGCAGAAGAGAGGGGGCGGCACTCACGTGTCTCGTAATGCCCAGCACAGATCCCTCTCCGTTACTGGCATTTCTGTGTGATGTCTGAGACCCGAAGCAAAGCGGTACACATATGTGCGTGATACGGCCCGATAGCGTGCGTGGAAGTCGCTGTGGACGCGGTAAGCCCTGGTGATTCTGGGGGGAAAAAAGACAGAATAGCAGACACTGCATCAAATCTGGTAATGCACATATGTTTGTTTTGTAAACTCGGCAGCCAAGATTCAAGTTAGTCCAGAGTAATCAAGACACTGGAGGAAATATCATAACACTGGTTTTCATGTAAGAAAAACAATAGTCACTCATCATTCAAATGCAGCTTGATATCATAACAAACAAATCTGGTTTATACTCATGGTTGAGGACAGAACACAAGAGCGACATGGAAATATGTTCATTCATCTCTTCAACACAACAAGTTAAAGGAAAGGAAAATTTGATGTACTGCGGAAATCATTTAATGGTTTTGCCAAAATGTCCAATAGAACAGTGGCTCGCAAACTTTTTGACTCCAAGGCCTTCTTTCTCAAAGATGACATTTGAAGGCCCTAATAGATAGTACTGCTACAATGTCATAGCTATATTTTAAAATAATTACAAATATTGTAATATAATTACAATATAAATGCAATATTTTAATATAATTGCAATATTTTAAAATAAATACTAAAATAATTATTATACTACGGGGCTGTTGAATGCTTGAATCTGATTGGCTGACGAACGTTCTAAGGCGTGCAATTATGCCGAGTTCACACTGCACGATTTTAGCACGATTTTTCACTCGCCGACCGGTTTTGTGAAATCGCCGACAAATGCCCGAAATCGGAGGCAAATCGGTGCTCATTCACGCGAGTGACAATCACGCAGTGTGAATTATCAAAGACGCGATCTGAGGGAATCGCCGACACGTCGCCGACGCCCGCAAAATATTTGGCATGCTAAATATCTGGAGCTGTCAGCGATTCACAATCACGCTGTGTGCAATGATTTCTGACTGAAAACTACGCGACTGACTGCTACCTCAGATAGTCATGCAGTGTGAAAACCACAGTGACCCGACGACTTTGAAAATCGTGCAGTGTGAACTCTGCATTATTTTCAGGGAAACGTGGCTAAAGTAGTTCCAGGTAGGTCTTGACCGCATTACATGTTCATATCACTTCGCCAAATGATTTCAGTCATTTCAAAGGTCCTTACAGCTTAAAACAGCAAAAGAACCAAATCCCACAACGACACTGGCCAAGCAAATAAATATAGTAAACAATCGGATCAAAATGACAAATTATTTCCATGTTTTTGCCACAAAATTACGTTTTATTATGTACGGAAAGCACATACTTTCTTTCTCCCACTCAAATGCACACACATCATTAGAGTAAAGACACACGTGCACAGAAACGTGTTGTTAGCGCTACTCTGACAATTTTATCAGTAAAATAGTTTAACAGCTTAAAAGCTACATGACATTTCGCACTAGTGAGGTAATAACGCGCTATTCTTGAAGCTGATAAACTTACAGTTTCGCTATTAGAGACGCTTGCTGCTGAACACACTTGAAAGAGAACTCAGAGGTAATTCACACACACTTAAAGGTGCAGTAGGAGATCTTGGAAAATGCTAACTATAGCACTGAAAGCGAACATCCCACCCTCCCTGCAATCGCCGTCCAAAGCCACGCCCCCTGAACGCATACGCTCACAGACCAGAATACCAGAGACAACATTACTAGGCTACATCAGCGGTTCCCAATTCCAGCCCATGTTCCGAAGTGAAGTAAACTTCAACGGATTTCCCCTGCTCAGGGAGGAGGGAGCAATGAACACTGTGTAGGGATCATATCGATCGGAACACAGTTCATGCACGTCGCTCACTTCTAACGAGCTGGTTATCTGAATGGGGTGCGTTAACTAAGCGAGACATGCAAAATATGCAGAGTGGGGGGGGCGCGAGGACTGGAATTAGGAACCGCTGGGCTACATCATGTGTCATTCACCAGTGAGAAAACTTTAAAAGTACTACAATACCAGGAAGGAAGATCGGGTTGTTGATGTTTGTCTGCCATTCTCGCTCTGTCTGCACAGCATGCGTGAACGCGCTGATGACGTATCCTGTCTGCTCGAACGGGGTGCGCAGAGGTATGCAGATACATACGTTCACAGGCAGGTAGGAAAGCGAATTAAAACGCTCGGGCCGATACTGATAAATACATTTGCACCACTTAACTTAATGATTGCTATCGGGATGTGAAGAGACTTTCAACCAGCATAACAAAAAATCGCTATTGCTGAGCAATGACAACACGGAAACAGGTCGATATATTATATATATGATTATATATAAATCGTCAGTTTGTTGTTTTACACACATGCACACAGACATTATTTCATACACGACATAGTCGTGAGATGCAAGAAACATAGACATATGGCAAGAAATCTGTAGACGCTCCCATAACAACAAAAGACGATACTTTATTGAACCTTTTCTGATAAGAAGTGTGCACTGCAAACGCGAGCATTTTTGACGTTCGTTTCTGTCCAGTCTGCTCGTTTTATCACGTTTAACCACAGCTGTCGTCGTTTTTTTGTCTGGCAGTGGCAGCAGATATGCGATCAAATTTCTAATTTGAGGCTGTATTACATCGATTCTGGCACCCAACATCACAACAAGATGATATTTTAAGTTCCTTATGTAGCCGAATCTGCACTGGTTTGAATGGGCCGCCTCCAGTTTCCCCTTTGTTTTGCTGCCTCCAGCTAGCGCTGTGATGTCGGCTGACCCTAGTTACCTGTGGTTGGCCTGGCCGTGCGTCACTCAGAACACAACAGGCCAATCAGAAGAGAGGCTCATGAATATTAATTAGACAGGCCAAAATCGACCTGTTCTCAGCAGAGCTCCTGAGAGAGGAGCTGTACAAATATATTGAGATGGTTTTTGGTACTTATACCGCAAATATATATTCTTAAGGACATCAAAACCTAAAATAAAACTCCAGAAAGGTGTACAATATGTGACCTTTAATCTCAATCTCTCACTCATATAACTTGATTAAAAATGACATTTTGGAATTACCAACAGAAGCGTGGGATGAGATGTGTAAGAATTTACCTACTCACAAGAGCATTTTATGGACAAAACCTGACGAATATTATTACAAATGACTTTACATTTAATGTAAAGGTAGTAAAAAGTTATAGTTTTTTAGTGAAAAACTAGTACTGCTAGTACTGTAGCTTTGCAGGTTGGTTTCTTCAAGCGCCTTAGAGACCTTGATCCGGTTCTTCAGTTTTTTTCTGTTTCTTCATGTAATCCCAGACGGACTGGATGATGGTGAGATCAGATCTCTGTGTGAAGCACTGGCTACTGTCAGACTCCTTGTGCATACAAAAATCTCACTGGATTATTAAAATTAATGGCAAAAGGAATGTTTGGAAATGTAAACTGATATTTCCTACTGACACAATAGAGCTAAAGATAGAAATAACTGGCCATTTTTTGTTGATGGAAATACTACTGGCCTGAGACTTTTGCATACTGAAGAAGTATATTGAAGAAGGAACCAAACCATTTCTACATGCCTGACAATCAAAAACAACCACTTAGCAATGCACTAAAAACCTCTCCTTAGCAACACCTTAGCAACCACACAGCCTTGGGAACCACTCATAGCAACAACCTAGCATCACGGCAGTGAGTTTTGCCCAGCCAAAACTCCTCAAATTTTCTTCAGAACGTGTTAAAATTTAGTTTGCATTTTCAATGGCATGTCTACAATGTGAAATACTATTTAAATAAATGTAATTATAATAATTAGTTGAATAAACATGCAACAACATTTCCAACATCTGTAAGGTTTGTGCAGTACTAGATCTTGCTCGAAACACTGGCAGCTGCTGGGGTGTTGGTCTTCGTCTGACTGAGTGCTCTTGTGGATTAAACTGCTGGTCTTGCACCCCCATGAGGTCCATGTTGATCACAAAGTGCCTCAATTCCCCATTAAACATTTATGCAATACAATCCCATGAGGCCTTTTGAGAGGACCAGTCTATCAGCACCAGACCTCCCTGAAGCACATGCCAGAGGGCTTCACCATCATTCATGACAGGCACAATATGGACATTCTGTGAGTATTTTCAATGTTACGTTTAATGATAGCGTCACAAAAGAAGATGAAGTTCAAAAGTCATGGAACCTGTTGACATCCAATACACTTACTGTGATGAGGTCACATGAGTCAAAAAATCTAGTAATAACCCAGCTGCTGTGATCATGTCTGTTAATCAAAGAATAGATGAAAAAAGAGGGAATCAATAACTTTTGTAGCTTTAAGGACTGATTTGAAGTGTTTAAGAACTTTATTCCATTTCTGTATATTTAATTTTCTACTTGCTGAAGGGCACATGTTGCTAAATATGTCATTTATTATAATAGGCTTATGTGAAGATTGTTTTAAGCTCACTTAAATTATAAGTTAATTTTTAAAGTCTAATAAATGTTAAAATGTTGTTTCTACATTAATTTGAAGATGTGAAATTATTGAAATAAAAAATTATATTTAAAACCTTTAATAGTAGGTGGGATTAATCGTGATTAAGTAATGATGCTGAAAATTCAGCTTTGCATTACAGGAATAAATTACGTTTTAATATATATTCAAATAGAAAAGAGTCATTGTATATATTTCAAATAATTTGAAATAATAAAATACTTTTTTAACTATATTTTTGATCAAATAAATAAAGCTTTAGTGAACTTAAGACTTTCAAAAACAATAAAATCTCCCTGAAGAATACTAGTGCTCATTATGTGTCTGTGAGGATATAGTCACAGTGCTCAGTGTGTTCTAAACACAGGATAGCCAGACAGAAAAGAGCACAGCTGCCAGTCCACATCTCTGGCTAGAAGCACCACTGCACTCTGACAGCATCTCTGCAGGGTTGCTGGGGCATTTTAGGGGTAGTTTGCAGCAGTTTGCTCCTCCACTCTCCACTCACAACACCAAATAAAAACGACGATATGCTCAGGCTCCCAGAGGAGTCTGTCAGTTTATTAATGATTTACCAGCAGGCGCTAATCGCTGCTAACAGGAACATGGAATAAAACACACACAGACCTGACGTGAGCACTGCACTATCAACATACAAGCTTTTGTGACATATAAGGCAAATGTAAAATGAAAACTTTTCTTTTTATTATTACTATAATTTTTTTTTTATCCTTCCAAGACAATCACAGGCATCTGATGAACATTTGTGACTTTCTGCAGAGGCAGCGCTGTGACCCCAATCAGGCCAGGCGACCCCAAGCTTCCCCCAGCCTGTCTCTCATGAGCACAACCTCGAAAATATTCAGTCCCACCTGCCAATAACCCAACTCATACCATACAAATAGCTTAAAAAAAGAAGAATTTAAGGAAGAAGAGAACTGAATGGAATTCATATAAATACCATTTTGTGTGTGTGTGTGTGTGTGTGTGTTTAAAATATTTTTTTGCTCACCAAGGTTGCATTTATTTGATCAAAATACAGTAAGAGTAATACTGTAAAAATCTATTACAATTTAACATTTTCTATTTGAATATGTATTAAAAATTTAATTAATTCCAGCGATGCAAAGCTGAATTTTCAGCATCATTACTCCAGTCTTCAGTGTCACATGATCCTTCAGAAATCACTCTAATATGATGATCTGCTGCTCAAGAAACATTTTAAATATTATTATAGTTGTAACTGTGGAAACTGATAGTTTTTCAGGATTTGTTTAATTAATTCTTGATCATTTTTTGCAACAACAAAGTTTTTTAATGTCGCTTTTGTTCAATTTAATCATTCCAAGCTGTATTAAATAATAATAAATCGTACTGACCCCAAATTTTGAATGGTAGCGTACTATATATGTCCAGGAATATTAAATGATAATAAAAAAATAATTTATATAGGTGTCTGTAAAACTTATTTCATGATGGAATAACATTCATTTCTCAGAATGATCATTGCTGACACTAAATAATAACACTACTCATAATTACTTGATTTCATTTATAATAATTGCATTCAATATTAGCTAGTTTTACTATCATTGAAATGCAATTCAGTAAATTCCTCTTTTCTGTAATTCCACTTTAATTTCCTGTGGAATGTGTGGTAAATTAATTTCAACCATTTATAATTATAAAGATGATCACATTAGGAAATATATATATATGCATACTTACCAGAACAAAATGATTTTCTTTTAAGGTTTAAGTTGGTCACTAACAGCAAAGCGACATTTCAGCACATCACGGGTTAAAATGACTACAGAGGACGTGTCAAGGTGACTTTGTAAAAGCAATTTACTCGGCATTTGATACAAGGAAGGTCCCCCAGGAGCAACATGGGATTATGTCTCTTGCATAACAGTGTCACGATGCACACACACGAGGGACGAGGAGATGCTGGAGAATATGTTGACAGGACTTTATTTGCATGAACCAAGGGAGACGAACACAGGAAGACGTTCACAGGAAGACGTTCACAGCGGACAGAGAACTTGGGACTGGGAACACTTTTTATATACACACAGGAGGAGGGGATGACGAGACACACCTGGGAGCAATGAAACATCATGGGGAACACCTGGGACAAATTAAACATGGGAAAGGAACACCTGGGGAGCAAGACACAGACAAAACATGGAACAGAGTCTGACAAACAGTGGCTGGGGATCCGATTAATTCCCCATGAATTGCCCCTTCAGGGGATTGAATTTTCAGATAACTGGCCCTGATCTTTTACACCTAAGCAACTTCCAAAGACTACAGTAGATCTGATTTAGCCCTGGTTTGACCTCTCTGACATTACACAGAGTGTGACAATGTTTGAAAGCTTTTTAAAAGAAAAACTTTGAAAAGTAAATGCTTTATTGCTTCAATAAAGTGTCACGTTTTTTTGTTGTTTTAAAAGCAGTCAGTATTTTAGCAATTCAGTTTAGTGCCACAAAAAGCACAGAAAATTAGCTTTAATTTTCAGTGTGCTGTTTCTGTTTGACAGCTTTTGTCATCTGGCACTTCCAATAAAGAGGTTAAAATGGTTAATTTCTGATTTGCTGTCACTGTAAGTCTATATATAGTTTGCATAAACCATACAGAAGTTTGGGATTGATTTTTAATATTTTTGAAAGCAGTCTCTTCACCAACGTTCACCAAGACTGCATTTATTTTATCAAATATAGAGTAAAAGCAATAATATCGTTAAGTATTATAACAATTTAAAATAACTGTTTTCTATTTTAATGTATTGTAATATATAGACTTCAGTCTTGAGTGTCACATGATCCTTCAAAAATCATTCTAATTTTGTGCTAAAGACACATTTTTCATTATTATTGTAATCATCATTATCAATATTGAAAACAGTTGTGATCCTTAATACTTTTGTAGAAACCATGATACATTTTTCATAATTCTTTGATTAATTGAAAGTTCAAAAGAACAGCATTTATTTGAAATATGAATCTTTTGTAACATTATAAATGGATTTACTGTCACTTTAGATTAGTTTAATGCATCCTTGCTGAATACATGATGAACTTCTTTCAAAGTAAAAAAAAAAATCTTACTGACCTCAAACTTTTGAACTACTGTGTACAAAAATGTGGTGCAAAGACATACAGCTTTTTAAATCCTGTAAAAGCCTCCCACCTTATAGGTTCTGCTTTCAAGTGGAAGTTCAGGGCATCAACCAGGTCTTGCTCCAGCAGTGGTGGCTTGTCTCCTCTCCGCTGGATATCTACGTGTGCAGAGTTACACAAGGCTTGCACACCAGTGTCTGTTCTACTGGAGATCATCACTGACACCTCATTCACCGGCTTTAGTTTCCGCACAGCACTCTACAAAAAACAAACAGCATGAATCAAGTTGTTGTAAAACCTGATGATCATCTTAAGCAGCACGATTTGAGAACATTACAAAAGACACCTTGTGTGACTGAATGCAAGCAGAAAATCTGACCTCTTGCACAAAGGAGTTCACATGCTTGATGTCACAATTTTGCAAAATTGTATTCCTTTTTTCTCATTCATTTTGAAACATAATGCTTTTACTGTTTTAGATTTCTTAAAGGAATAGTTCACCCAAAATGAAAATCTGCTGGAAATGTACTCACCCTCGACCATCCAAGATGAGTTGGTTCTTCATGGGAACAGATTTGGAGAAATTTAGCATTACATCACTTGCTCACCAATGGATCTCTTCACTGGAGGAAGTGTTATTATGGACTGGCATTTTGACCAGAAGTGATGGTTTAAAGTTAAAACACCTCGATGGATTTGTTTCTTACAAACACACAGCTTCTCACTCCACAAGATGTTTTTGATGTACAGGAGTGTTGTGGATTATTGTGATGTTTTTATCTGTTTAGCTGTTTGGACTCTCATTCTGACGGCACCCATTCACTGCAGAGCATCCATTGGTGAGCAAGTGATGTAATGCTACATTTCTCCAATGAGGTTGAGTACATTTTAAGCAATTTTTCATTTTTGAGTCAACTATTACTTTAAAACATATTTTTAAAATAAGATTCTAAATCCCAGATTTTCAATGTTATCAGACATTAAACTGAATACATAAAGAGAGTTTATCACATACGAATATTACATAACTGAAACTTTGTCAGATGTTTCAAATCTCTTCTAAGACCTTTTCATCATATTTACTGCAATATTATAATAAAAGGCATGCTAGCACACATACAGATTATGACTGTGCTTCTGTAAATGATAAATTATATTCTGTAAAAGATTGAAAACTATGCTGATTGCAGTTTGCATAATTATAACACTAACAATGTGTGGGAATTAAAAAAAAAAAAATCTGAGATACTTAAAGAGACTGTTAGTGGAGTTTTGTATAATATATAGTTATATGTAAGCTTTGAGGAACCAAATACAATCTGACTTTGAGCAGTCGTTTTAACCCAATAAAGCCTATAGTATCATACTTGAATTTCCAAGGCCTCTAAATAATCAACTTTGCTATAAAAAAAACTGTTAATAAAAGCCTGATGTATGAATATATGATACAAAACACAAAATGCATTTTTTACATATGACTGTATTATTATTATTTAGTGCTGTCAAATGATTAATCGTGATTAATCGTGATTAATCGCATCCAAAATAAAAGTGTTTGTTTACATATTATATGTATGTGTGCTGTGTATATTTATTATGTATATATAAATACACATGCATGTATACATTTCAGGAAAATATGTTATGTTTATATATTAAATACATTTATTTATAACTTGTATGAATATAAACACATGTAAATATTTGTAAAATATATACTGTATCTGTGTGTATTTATATAGACATATTAAATATACACAGAACACACACATATATTATGCAAACAAACACTTTTATTTTGTATGCGATTAATCGCGATTAATCGTTAGACAGCACGATTATTATTATTATACATATACATAAACTGTTTTGTTAAAAAAAAATAATAATTTATTTCACATGTCAGGCTTTACTGGGTTAACTAAAATATTTGGCAAAACTTCTACGGAGACCATTCAAGCCACGAAAGAGCAACTACCTGTCTTGCCAACAGAGAAGCACCACACAACGGGATTTTACCGCAGTATATTTATATGCCATTTCCAAAAGAAATGCAAGTTAACGAGCAGACATATTGTGCTGAAGAGGATGGCAGATGTTTTGAGGGAAGCACCAGAGTCTGAGGATTTGATGCAGATGAGTGAAATAGAGAACTGGATCATATGGGAAACAATTATTTGAAACTATTTTTGAAAGATACAGCAATTGTTTTGCATTGTCAGGCAGAGACTGACCTCTAGATGATTCTCAACCCCCTCTACAGCTTGATCTGCTGCTGTTTTCATCACGCCACTGAGGAGAAAATGACAAGCAGACATTTACCGTATGTGTGTGGTGTTATAACGGCTCAGTAGAAGGAAGCGTGAGTGCGGTTGTCATGGAGACAGACCTATATTTGGTCCCTGCATATTGGAAAAAGATTAAATAACGGGCGGCGGATTTTTGCATGTTTCCTGATGTATTGTTTGTCAGTGCAAGTCGTTAACAGGATATATTTATTATGTATATATAAATACACATGCATGTATACATTTCAGGAAAATATGTTATGTTTATATATTAAATACATTTATTTATAACTTGTATGAATATAAACACATGTAAATATTTGTAAAATATATACTGTATCTGTGTGTATTTATATAGACATATTAAATATACACAGAACACACATATACATAAACTGTTTTGTTAAAAAAAAAAAAACTTTTATTTCACATGTCAGGCTTTACTGGGTTAACTAAAATATTTGGCAAAACTTCTACGGAGACCATTCAAGCCACGAAAGAGCAACTACCTGTCTTGCCAACAGAGAAGCACCACACAACGGGATTTTACCGCAGTATATTTATATGCCATTTCCAAAAGAAATGCAAGTTAACGAGCAGACATATTGTGCTGAAGAGGATGGCAGATGTTTTGAGGGAAGCACCAGAGTCTGAGGATTTGATGCAGATGAGTGAAATAGAGAACTGGATCATATGGGAAACAATTATTTGAAACTATTTTTGAAAGATACAGCAATTGTTTTGCATTGTCAGGCAGAGACTGACCTCTAGATGATTCTCAACCCCCTCTACAGCTTGATCTGCTGCTGTTTTCATCACGCCACTGAGGAGAAAATGACAAGCAGACATTTACCGTATGTGTGTGGTGTTATAACGGCTCAGTAGAAGGAAGCGTGAGTGCGGTTGTCATGGAGACAGACCTATATTTGGTCCCTGCATATTGGAAAAAGATTAAATAACGGGCGGCGGATTTTTGCATGTTTCCTGATGTATTGTTTGTCAGTGCAAGTCGTTAACAGGATTGGAAAAGCAGTGGCGGATGTATCCTACGGAAGTCAATAAATAAATATTCATCAGATGTTGTTGTATATGCCTAATAACGCCGTACAATACCAGTCATGTTCAACAGCCATGTGAGAGAGAGTGCCTGAAAGCAAAACCCAGCCGCTGCCCGCTGTCTCACATGTAGAAGCCAAAGCGATGCCTGTTTTAAAAATAGCCGTTGAAATGTGGAAATTATCTAACACACGCATAATTTCAGTTTTTAGAGCTTTTTACTTTACAAAGAATATTAATTTGTATAGTATGTTTAGCTTGATTTGAAAACAGTCATTTTCTATGTGTTGGAAATTTAAAGGCGGTATCGCAGGACGACAAAAATGATGATTGACGGAGGCGGACGAAACGCAAAGCTCTTCTAGTGTACAGTTAAAACACTTTATAGAGATGTTGATACTAACTGTTAGTTTTGCCAAATGTAGAAGCAGACTATTGTTGATTTATTTTCACAACGGTATTTCTAGTAGAATATTTTAAAATTGATATGGAAGATATTTAAACAACCTTGGACAAAAAGTTCTGAAAAGAATGTTTATTTTAGTAGAAAAGGCTTACGATTATTTTAATTATGGGTTAATATTAATTAAATAACTTAATGCAATACATGCAATACACGTTATTCAATATAAAAATAAAGTTATGCACACACACATACACACACACACACACACACATATATATATATATATATATATATAAACACACACACACACACTGTTTAATATGAATATTTTAGCAGAATAAACCCATCAAACCTAGCAATAAACCTAGCAATGTACTTCTACAGACATCATGATTAATAAGTCAACATTTAATAAAATTGTATGTATTAAAATAAAATTAAAACGAACTATTGAATCTGTTAGCATTAGTTAATGCACTATGAACTAAAATGAAGATTACTAAATGCTGTACTTGAGTAAAAGATACCTTACAGTGAAAATTACTCTATTACAAGTTACAAGTCACCAATTCCAAAGCAACTTGAGTAAAAGTCTTAGAGTATCTGATTTTAACAGTACTTTGGCTAAGTAGCCTACTAATTATGGACTCAGAGATGCACTAATCAAAGGGGATGCCAGTGAAAAACAAGAAAGAGTTGATTTGTGAGGAGAGCAATCACATTTATTTTCTGACACTGAACAACTCAAAACTGCAAAAAAATCTAATAAGGCCTTCTTGCACTGAATGTGCTGGTTTCGGGCCTCATTGTCGGCTGCAGTCATGTCCTTATATCTTGTATATAAAACACCTGTGATTCACAACTACTTGCTAAGGAACTAAAGTTGCCTTGTTGACAAGTTTGGGTGAGTAAGAGCAAAACGCACAAGATATAGTACTTTCAGTGCCCTGTAGTTGGCGATATTACTTCCTTTGTAGCAGAAATAAACTGCTGCTGAAAAAGCTAGGTCCATGCAAAATGTAATGCGTAATTGCAACACTCATTACAAATGTAGTGGAGTAAAGAGTACAGATACTAATTCAAAAATGTAGTGAAGTAAAGAGTAAAATTTGCTAATATCTTTGACACTCAGTAAAACTACAGTGTATCCAAAAAGATAGGCTACTCAAGTACAGTAGCTAATTACATTTACCCAAATACTTTACACCTCCATCTTATTGTTTGTTCCTAGCTAATGCATAAACTAATGTAGGGCTGCACGATAAATCGAAATGGAATCGAGATCGCGATTCGACAGAAGCTGCGATTGTCATGCGTATCTTTCAGTGAAGCACGGTTCTGTGATCAGCAGTAAATCTCCATCCAAAGGCCAGAGGGCGCTCTCGCTCTGAAACTCCAAATACGCCTCGCAGAAGAATCACTGCAGCTGAATAAACAGAAGACTCAACTGCTTTCATTGATTCAACGTGACTAATAAAGACACAACTACGGCAATATACGGTTTATCTGAGTATTTATTATTATAATTTTAATTAAAATAAAGTATATTTATAATGCAATGCCTTTATCACTGCTTAAATACTATGAAATATGTTGCGTGCCTTATTCTGTGTAAAATGCTGCTCCATCTGAAAGCACGTGATGATGATTTCTTGCTGATTACAGAACCGGCTTTTTTAACAAAATGCGCATGACAATCGCATTCGATTAATCGTGCAGCCCTAAACTAATGCATTAACAAATAAGACCTTGTAAAGTGTTAAACGAAATAAAAAATAATTGAAATAAACATAAGCTTGTGGATCAAACACACAGACACCAAATATTCCAAATGTACACACACGTTTATTACAGTAAAATTGTGGGATGCATTTTGAAAGACGCTCCCTTATTTTCTTCTACCGCATATTTGATGACGGTCCCTTAGCTCGCACAGCGCTGAAACGGCTCCACACAGATCTGTAGCAGTGTCACAGTGTCACTGTTTTACCGGGGAAAGGGATACACTCGCGTTTCACATTTAGGCGCATTACAGCCACCGGCAACGCTATGCTACATTTTTAACTGAACGACGGAATAACTGCAAAAATGACGGTGGATTTTGAGGAATGTATTAAAGATTCACCTCGATTCAGGTAAGAACACACTCATGCTCCACAGCTGTTTAAACAACACTTATGGTCAGTTCAGGGTTAATTGTGAAATACACAATATTTTTGTTTGAGGCTCTGGTTTAAATTTAAAACACGACGAGTCTCAAATCAGGTCGGGCTTTTTTTTGTCTGTTTAATTTATTACAATATTGTCTACATAGTGAGCTGGCTACATAGACAGCATTTTGGGGCATCACAGGCGCGTGCTACAACGATGGCATCACAGGAGCCCAAAAAATGCTCGGCATCTTTCTAGGTTATGAGAACATTCGCCGTGTTCTTGAGGGACCAGTTGAATGAATGAATGAATGAATGAGGGCTTTTTAAGGACGCGGATCCTTAGCCGCAATAGCTCAGTGTCGCTGGTTTGTTGTATAATTGTGTTTCAGACGTTGGTGGATCCTGTGCTGAATCAATGTGATTAATTTGGTCCCTTCTGTGCTAATGCAACAGCATCACACATGAAACCGAATGCAGTGATAATGTTCTGATGAATCCATGAAGGGGGGCGTCGCTGTGCTACACGCCAAGTATCATGATTAATAGCCTAATGCAGAGACGCTCGGTATTTACATGATTCACGAATATATACGGTCATCTGTTACCAGTGTTGGGGAAAGTTACTTTTAAAAGTAATGCATTACAATATTGCATTACTCCATAAAAAAGTAACTAATTACGTTACTTCGTTACTTTTTATGGAAAGTAATGCATTGCGTTACTTTTGTGTTACTTTTTAAATCAGGACAGGGCTTGCTTGTTTGTTTTTAAAATAAAAAAGTTATATTTTTGGCAAATATAAAAGCCTTTTCACACCAAAAGCGAAATGAATAAGCCTCAGGCTGAAGGGAAAGTAAATTTCATATTCTGAGGTGCATTATATTTATTCATTTTGAGGAATACTGAATCTGTGTTTTTTGTGAGTGAGATGAATTAATGCATATTCATATTTATTTTAGAGCTACAGTAACATTTCTGATTTCTCTCAAATTATACTTATTTGAAAAAGTAACTCAGATATTCTCTTGTAAATTAAAAAGTAATGCGTTACTTTACTAGTTACTTAAAAAAAGTAATCTGATTACGTAACTCGCATTACTTGTAATGAGTTACCCCCAACACTGTCTGTTACAATAATATTAATTATCACAGTAATTGTAATTAGTCTTGCGTGTATGATGGATGTGCACATTAATAAGCTACAGAAAAATGAAATGGAGTCGTCAATACTAAAGCTTTTACCTTGTTATCTGAGATCAGAGTACAGTCATTTAGTAGTCATTATTATTAATCATAATAGCCATCAACAGAGTCACTTTTTTTCAGGGCGTCTGTTTCGTTTACAATAAATAAGCAAGCTAAGTATTGTTATCAGATGTTTATTTTAGTTATCAAGTGTCACAGAGAACAGAACTTAAAACATTGATTCTCAACCAGGATGGGGCCTCAGCCAACTTCTAAAGGGGACCTCGGGATGACTTAAAATGATTTAAAGCCCAAAACAAAAATATTTCTTGCTTTAATTCATGCTTTCAAAAATATTTTTTTCTTTTCTTTGAAGTATAAGTATTCTCACTGTCTAGGTAAAACATTGAGGTAGTCTAATGTGAAACGTGTGATGATTTCTAGACCTGGAAAAGTCATGTGTAAAAAAAAAATAAAATCTAATTACATGAACTAAAAAATGGTGTAAAAACAAATTTTCACTCAGAAATTGCAAGTACATTTGACTAACTATTGCTAAAAAAATAAAAGTAACACATTGCATTAAAAATACAGAAAAAACTATTTTCTTTTTAAAATGGACTCAATCTTTGATCTATTTTCAACTTTAAAAAAAAAAATCATATACATTTTTATAGTTATTAGGTACAAATTATGAGTGAAAAGTCATGGGCCTTTGAATATTGTTGTGGACAACAGAGGCACTTGGAGTCAAAAAGGTGGCAAACCACTGACTTCAAGGAATAGTTAACTCAAAAATGAAAATTCTGCCTTTATTAAGAAAAAATTTACTTATATAGCGCATTTAAACACTGCAATGCTGACCAAAGTGCTAAACAAAGTGAATTACAACACAATATAATGTCAAATGCATGACAGGCATTTAAAAATATTCATTAACATAATATAAAAACATGAACATGTAAAAATGTTAAGTTGAAAAAGCCAAAGAATAAAGTTCTGAGTGATTTGAAAACAGCAAGTAAAGACGCCTACAACCCCTTATGTTGTTTCAACCCTGTTTTCTTCTGCTTTCTCTATTCATTCTGTAGAACCCAAAATGAGAAATTCTGAAGAATGTTCTAGTCGCTCTTCCATATAATTGCAGGGAATGGGAACTAAATTACTTAAAATCACATAAACATATGATTAAAATGGTTCATGCAACTCAATTGTAAAAGTACTCCGGATTATACAATAACTCTGTGTGATGAACAGACTGAAATTTAATAATTTGTTATTCAAATTTTATTGAAGCATTCATGAGAATAAAATAGCAATGTCCAATCTGTTTGTGTGTTTTCTGTTGACCCAATAAAAAAAAATAAAAAAACTCATCTGAGTGATTCATTTACCAATTGGACTGATGTGGTTCTTTAATTTTAACTCACTGATTGGATCATCCAGTTGCAGTTGAATCAATAAATAAATTTTTTTTAGTCAATTCATCTTATAGCTTCAAAAGACTTTTGAAGTTTTATTTGAGGGTCTTGGTTTCAGTAGTTCAGTCAGCACATATGCAGCTTCCAGCGCAGGCAGATTCACTTCAGATGAATTCTAATGAAGTGAGTCACAGCTCTTGCCGTTCGTGTGGGTCTGATCCATCATCATATATGATTGTTCAGTAGGACACTGGAGATAATGGACTTGTTCTCCATCTGTTCAGTTCATCCGTTATCTATTATGTCAGACATTGAGGCGTCATGAACGTCATTCTACAGCAATGTTATTCAGTACTCCATCATGCATATTTATCCAGCAAACTGTCAGTGCTTTGCCCTTCTGTGCCTCTGAGGCATCAAGGACTTTTGAAGGGCAAGGGAGAGAGTCTCTGCAAGGGGTTGCTGTTCTGGGCAGACATCCAGTATTCCTAGCTTCACTGATGCTTAAGGACTAACACACTCTAGGGACTATACATGTAGAGCCAGACAGCAGATTGGAGTGAAAAATGACTGTTTATCTCCATGACCCTACATGGGACAAGTGGTTTGGAGAATGGATGGATAAATTTATCAAGTCACCTTTATTTGTACAGCGCTTTATACAACGCAGATTGTGTTAAAGCAGCTTTACAGTGCTAAACAGGACATAAACATAATGAGCCTCATTTATGAAATGAACGTACGAAAATTGGGCGTACGGTCGTTTCAACGCAAAACTTGGAATTGATCAATATGGACGTGAGCAGTGGCTACGATAAAATCTCACGTCTGGTCTCAGCTCATGTACGCGCATCTGGTGGAGAATTCGAGAATGACAGCATTTTGTTCATTTTTCTTTTCCTGACCGTCAAACGAAGCTCATTAGTCGATCGTTAACCAGTAAGATTAGAATGTCTTTTTTTTTTTTTTTTTTGTACAGGGCTTTATCTTTATATGGCTATAATATCATTTTTTTTATAATATTTATATAATATTTAGGCTATAATATAATTAACAGATTAACAAAAGGAAAAAAAACACTGTGCATCAAGTATAGGCTACGCTCACTTTTGTGACACTTAATGCATTTTATTTCTTTTCTTTATATCTATATTTGATTTAATCCATCTGATCGCACAGGTGATGGAATCGCGATTCGACAGAAGCTGCGATTGTCATGCGTATCTTTCAGTGAAGCAAGGTTCTGTGATCAGCAGTAAATCTCCATCCAAAGGCCAGAGGGCGCTCTCGCGCTGAAACTCCAAATACGCCTCGCAGAA